TTTGTAGTGTGGGGTGTCTCTGCAACAAAATGTAAAACAAATATTAAAATTTTAAAAATTAATCAGTTAAGCTGATTTTGAATATCATTTTGATTAATCGGACTCTGAAAAAGAAACTTGTCTGCCTCTAATTTCTGCAATTAATATTTTCAACTCTAAGGGTCGCTGTTTGAAAGGTTGTATTTTTATACTGTCTCTCTCCCTCTCCTCCTCTCCTTGTGTTGCTTTACGCGTTTATTTCCCAGCGTTTTAATAGACGACACAGGAGCAGTTCATGTTTGCTGGGAAGGAGAGATTTTTCCTTGTGAATACGCATTTTATGTTTAATTTGCAGAGTGGAACGACCATTATGCTTTCTCAGCACGGACATTTTTAGACAGATCGGTGTTTCTTGTATGTGTTTTTAGAAAGGATCCGGGTTGGACAGAACAATGAAACGGCAAGTACTTTCTTTTCTTTCCATGCTCTGTGTGAGCTACGCGCTTGGACAGGTCAGTTACATCATTCCCGAGGAAATGCCCAAAGGCTCGGTGTTAGGAAACATAGCTCATGATTTGGGTTTGGATTTAAAAAGACTGAAATCAGGTAATGCTCGTGTATTTACAGGGGGTAGTATGGAATATATTCGCCTCAATAAAGAGAGGGGAGTCCTTGTTGTTCAAGAGCAGATAGACAGAGAGGCTTTGTGCGGGGAGACGACGCCTTGTGCTTTGCATTTTCAGCTTATTCTAGAAAATCCCATGGAATTGTTTCGTGTCACAGTCGAGATTTCCGACATAAATGACAACTCACCTAGTTTCACGCGTGCGGAAAAGCGCTTTGAAATAAGCGAGTCTGCAGCTATAGGCTCGAAATTTATATTAGAGAAAGCAATGGATTCTGACATTGGGACAAATGGACTGCAAGAATATACACTTTCTCCGACTGATAACTTTGTTTTAAAGCTACAAAATCAAGCAGATGGAAGCAAAAAGGTTGAGATGGTTTTACAGAAGCCGCTAGACAGAGAAAAGCAAGAATCCATGACGCTGCTGCTAACAGCTACAGATGGAGGAGAGCCGCAGATGTCGGGGACAATGCAGATATTCGTCACTGTTCTAGATGCGAATGACAATGCTCCAGTATTTGACAAACCATTGTACAGAGCTAAAATATCAGAAAATTGTCCAAAGGGAGTCAGTGTAACCACTGTAAAAGCGTCCGATAAAGATATTGGTCCAAATCAGGAATTGTCGTATCTCATATCTCCAAGCAAACATCATTTGACTAAGATGTTTAATATTAACCCTAAAACTGGTGAAATTACTCTGACTGGGGAAATAGATTATGAAAAGTCAGCCATTTATCAAATGGATATTGAGGTGGTAGATAGTGGTGGTTTGTCGGATTCCACAAAAGTAATAGTAGATGTAATCGATGAAAATGACAATTTCCCCCAAATAAATATTGCCTCAAAGTCGGATAACCTTTTGGAGGACGCACCAAAAAATACAGTAATTGCAATGTTAAGTGTAAGTGATCCAGACTCAGAGAGTAGCGGAAAAGTTGGGTGTTATATACAGGATAACATTCCCTTTAAAATAGAGACGACTTTAAATGGGTTTTATAGATTAGTTACAGAAGTAGCTTTAGATAGAGAAGTTTCTACCACGTATAACATTACAGTGACCTGCTCTGATGAAGGAGTGCCATCCCTCTCCAGCAGCGTCACTCTCACCTTACAGATCTCTGACGTGAATGATAACGCACCTGTCTTTGAGAGAAGCTTGTATGAGACATATATTGTTGAAAACAACACACCAGGTGTCTCTGTATTCACAGTAAAAGCCACATATGCTGATTGGAACCAGAATGCTCGTGTTTCTTATATCTTGGAGGACTCCTCTGTTAACGGAGTGCCAGTCTCCTCCTATATATCTGTTAGTGCTGATAGTGGAGTCATCCATGCAGTTCGCTCTTTTGACTACGAGCAGATCAAAGATTTCCAGTTCTATGTCAAAGCGCAGGATGGAGGCTCTCCTCCTCTCAGCAGCAACGTGACTGTGAAGCTGATCATCCAGGATCAGAACGATAATCCACCTCAGGTTTTGTATCCAATCCAGACTGGAGGCTCCATGGTGGCTGAAATGGTGCCTCGTTCAGCAGATGTGGGCTACCTGGTGGCTAAAGTGGTGGCTGTGGATGTGGACTCTGGACAGAATGCCTGGCTCTCCTATAAACTCCAGAAAGCCACAGACAGAGCGCTGTTTGAAGTGGGCTTACAGAATGGAGAAATAAGAACTATCCGTCAGGTGACTGATAAAGATGCTGTGAAACAAAGACTGACTGTCATAGTGGAGGACAACGGGCAGCCCTCTCGTTCAGCTACAGTCATTGTTAACGTGGCGGTGGCGGACAGCTTCCCTGAAGTGTTGTCGGATTTCGCTGACTTTCCACACGATAAGGAATACAATGACAACCTGACTTTTTACTTAGTGTTGGCTCTGGCTGTGGTTTCCTTCCTCTTCATCACGTGTTTAGTGGTTATAATATCAGTAAAGATCTACAGATGGAGACAGTCTCGCATCCTGTATCACTCCAGCCTCCCTGTGATTCCATATTATCCACCTCGTTACTCAGACACTTTGGGAACTGGGACTTTGCCACACGTGTACAATTACGAAGTGTGCAGGACGACTGACTCCAGAAAAAGCAACAATAAGTTTGGCAATACTGCTAAACAGAACCTGTTGATAATGGACCCAAGTTCAACAGGGACGATGCAACGGATCCACAGTGAGACGAGCATCCTGGATGAACCCGAATCTCCACTAGAGGTTAGACATCAATATCGATAATGAATACTCAATTTTTTAATAGTCATTATATTATTCTTCTGGATATGATGTTTTCTTTTTTTACCTACTCTAAATCAGGTTTTGTGTTATTGTTTTAATTTCTACCACTGTATCTCTATTTTTTACTATGTTCTTACATTAGGTTCTGCAGAAAACACGTGTTTTTTTTTTAATATATTTTAACAATGACAGCAAAAATTATTTTTGCTCACGATTAATGGAAAAAAAAATAGGGAAATATACATGTATCATATCAGTAATACAATTTTGGCATTTGGTTGAATCAGTAAAAAGTGATGTTAATAATAAATAAATAATAATGACTGTAAATTATATAATATAATATAAAAAGCAGATGACACTGCTTGTTATACGAAAAGAGATGTATCATTTACAATGAAATAATATCAATATTAATAATAATAAAATAATAAGAACAATAGTAGTAATAAAATAATTATTATTATTAATATTATCATTTTTATTTGTTATTTATTTATTTATTTATTTATTTATTTATTTATTTATTTATTTAAATACTTTTTGAGCCATATTAGTTATTGTGCTTGTTTTGCGTATTTTTTCTTTTTCAAACCATTTAACAGAATCGCCGCTATTGGCCAGTATGTGGCAGTCTTAGATATGACTTGTAAATATTCCTCCCCTTTACATGGGATCTCTCAGACAATAAAACAACCCTCAACGCCTGCAGTTCGTTGAACGGATCTATTCCTCCTCAAGCTTAAACCGCCTCATCTTTTTTGGACGGATATTTAATGCAGTTTTGACGTTTTCCAGCTATTTTCTACTGGATTTCGAATCGGAATATCCCCGTTACGCAATGAGACGAGAAGTGCTGCTATTCTTCTGCGTTTTCTGCGGAGACGTGGTTTCAGGGCAGGTCAGCTTTTCTATTCCCGAGGAAATGGTGAAAGGCTCGTTAGTCTGTAACATTGCTCAGGAATTAGGTTTAGAATTGAAAAGGCTGAAGTCGGGCAATGCTCACCTTTATTCGGGGGACAGTGGAGAATACATCGAGCTAAGCAGGGAAAGGGGTGTCCTTCTTATCAAAGAGAGAATAGACAGAGAGTCGCTGTGCGGAGACATGACTCCCTGTGCTCTACATTTACAGATGATCTTGGAAAATCCGATGGAGTTATTTCGAATAACTGTAGAGATTACCGACATTAACGATAATGTGCCCAGCTTTGCGTCAACGAAGAAACGTTTTGAAATCAGCGAGTCGGCCTTTATTGGGTCAAAATTTGTCTTGGAAAAAGCTTCGGATGCTGACATTGGCGTGAACGGTCTTCAAAGCTATTTGCTTGAACCAACAACAAATTTTGCTCTTAAACTAGAGAATCAAGCGGATGGGAGTAAAAAGGTAGAAATGATTTTACAGAAGCCTCTAGATCGAGAGAAAGAGAGAGAAATATCTTTGTTACTGACTGCTGTGGACGGCGGAGAGCCGCGGATGTCAGGTACAATGCAGATAACTGTTAATGTGTTAGACGTAAACGACAATGCACCAGTTTTCACTAAATCCGTGTACAAGACGACATTAGTGGAGAATTCTCCGCGTGGGACAAGTGTTATTGCTGTTAGAGCTTCAGATAAAGATGAAGGGTTAAACGGGCAGGTTTCATACACGATTACAAAAAGCAAGCAACGATTATCCGAGCTCTTTCAAATCGATAGAAAATCCGGGGAGGTTATTTTGACAGGAGAAATAGATTATGAAAAGGCCAAGCTCTTACAAATAGACGTGGAGGCTACAGATAACGGAGGGCTTTCTGATTCCAGTAAGATTGTAATTGATGTGATTGACATTAATGACAACAGTCCCCAGTTAAAAATACTCTCAAAATCGCCATCTGTTTTAGAAAACGCGCCTGAGAATACTGTGATTGCCATGCTCAGCGTAAACGATCCTGATTCCGAAAGAAATGGCGAGGTGAAGTGTAAAATCAATGATGAAATTCCTTTGATAGTAAAGGACGCAAAAAACGGATTTTATAGTTTAGAAACAGGCGTAGCTTTAGATAGAGAAGAAACACCCCAATTTAATATCACAGTGACCTGCTCTGATGAAGGAGTACCCTCCCTCTCCAGCAGCGTCACTCTCACTTTGCAGATTTCTGATGTGAATGACAACTCGCCTGTTTTTGAGAGGAGCTCATATGACGCATATATTATAGAAAACAACACACCAGGTGTCTCTATATTCACAGTTAAAGCTACAGACGCTGACTGGAACCAGAATGCCCGTGTTTCTTACATTCTGATGGACTCCTCTGTCAATGGAGTGCCAGTCTCCTCATATGTATCTGTGAGTGCTGATAGTGGAGTCATCCATGCAGTTCGATCTTTTGACTACGAGCAGATCAAAGATTTCCAGTTCTGCATTAAACGCAGGATGGAGGCTCTCCTCCTCTCAGCAGCAATGTGACTGTCAAAATCCTGATCCAGGATCAGAACGATAATCCACCTCAGGTTCTGTACCCAGTCCAGACTGGTGGCTCCATGGTGGCTGAAATGGTGCCTCGTTCAGCAGATGTGGGCTACCTGGTGACTAAAGTGGTGGCTGTGGATGTGGACTCTGGACAGAATGCCTGGCTCTCCTATAAACTCCAGAAAGCCACAGACAGAGCGCTGTTTGAAGTGGGCTTACAGAATGGAGAAATAAGAACTATCCGTCAGGTGACTGATAAAGATGCTGTGAAGCAAAGACTGACTGTCATAGTGGAGGACAACGGGCAGCCCTCTCGTTCAGCTACAGTCATTGTTAATGTGGCGGTGGCGGACAGCTTCCCTGAAGTGTTGTCGGAGTTCACTGACTTTCCACACGATAAGGAATACAATGACAACCTGACTTTTTACTTAGTGTTGGCTCTGGCTGTGGTTTCCTTCCTCTTCATCACGTGTTTAGTGGTTATAATATCAGTAAAGATCTACAGATGGAGACAGTCTCGCATCCTGTATCACTCCAGCCTCCCTGTGATTCCATATTATCCACCTCGTTACTCAGACACTTTGGGAACAGGAACTCTGCCACACGTGTACAATTACGAGGTGTGCAGGACGACTGACTCCAGAAAGAGTGAAAGTAAGTTAGGAAGAGCTGGTAGTCAGAACATGTTGATAATGGATCCAAGTTCTACAGGGACAATACAACGGATACAGAATGAGAAGAACTTCCTGGATGAACCTGACTCTCCTATTGAGGTTAGACTACCATCCTGATGTTTATTCAATTTATTGATTGTGGTCATCACTTTTTCGTGTGATATATACATAAATTAAATAAAAACGTACCCGTGGTTTTTATGTGTAATTTTGATTTCATGTTATGTCTCCAATTTTCATAGTAATCAAAATTTTGTTTTTGCTGAGCATATTTATTAAGTGCTTTTGACTTTTTTTCATTTGAAGTGTGTCAGGCTTTGCTCAGTCGAATAACTGAGTGTATTTCAGCACCCCGGACAGTGGCAAATTGACTGTGGCTTTGGAAATGCCCCTTTTATGCACTTGTCTTTCTTCCTGCTTTTTCGTATACCTAATTTCTTCTTAATTAATTTTTGTTTGTTTTTTGCTTTATAATCAATTTTTTCTCCATATTTTAAATATTAGATTTAAACTGGTTCAAGTTTAAATTATTGTAATATTTTTTTCTCAGTGTTTCTCTTAACCGTATGTGTGGATTTTTGTCGCACTATTATGGTCTTCTCTGTACTTTCACCATTTGTACTCATCGGGCCGCTGTTGCCCAATGTGTTGAGGTTTAGAGTAGGGTAGCTTTCATAACACATTCACCAAGACATAGTTCTTACCATATTACTGTGGAGCAGTCAGAAACACATCGCACTCGCTGGGATTCATCTTTCTTCTGTGGACATTTTAAAGTGGAATTGCCTTGGATCATGTTAAATAGTTTTTAATACTTTTTGTGTCTTGCTGGATTTACATTTTAAACGAGCAGATTTCGGCAGCTCTCCCGCGACAGTGGAGACAAAAAGAACAATGATACGGCAAGTACTGGTGATCTCCGTCCTCTGCTTCGACTATGTGATCGGTCATGTTAGCTACTCAATTCCCGAGGAAATGGCAAAAGGCTCGTTGGTCGGAACCATTGTACAGGATTTAGGTTTAGATCTGAAACGTCTCAAGTCAGGAAAAGCTCGCCTTTACACGCGAGACAGTGCTGGGTTCATCGAGCTGAACAAAGAAAGGGGAGTTCTCCTCATTAAAGAAAAAATAGACCGCGAAGCCCTCTGCAGACAGACGACACCCTGCGCTTTGCATTTTCAAATCACTTTGGAAAATCCGCTGGAGTTATTCCCTGTAACAGTTGAAATTACTGACATTAATGATAATGCTCCAGTTTTCCAAAAAGAGGAGAGGATTTTTGAAATAAGCGAGTCGGCAGCTGTCGGCTCAAAGTTTATGCTAGAGAAAGCCGTTGACCCTGATATTGGAATAAATGGTCTTCAGAGATACACGCTTAAGCCTATTGATAATTTTATTCTTAAATCTCATCCTCAGTCTGACGGAAGCAAAAAGGTGGAGATGATTTTACAGAAGCCTCTAGATCGTGAGAAACAAGAGCACATATCTTTAATTCTGACAGCGGAGGATGGAGGAGAACCGCAAATGACAGGGACGATGCAGATTCACATTACAGTTCTAGATGCAAACGACAACGCACCAGTTTTTAGTCAAGCTATCTACAAAGCAACCATCACTGAAAACTCAGAAAAGGGAAAGCTCGTTATTAAGGTGACTGCCTCTGATGCAGACAGTGGACAAAATGGAAACGTGACGTATGTTGTAGGAAATAGCATGGATCCGGTTTCAAAATTGTTTCGCATTACTCGTAAAGGTGAAGTCATACTGGACGGACCAATCGACTACGAAAAAGAAAAAATATTTAACCTCGACATAGAAGCGATCGATCAAGGTGGACTCTCTGATTCGAGTAAAATAATAATTGATGTAAGTGA